ACCCCCAGCATCACCCCGGGGTGCCCCAGCCCTCTGCCCCCTCCACGATCCCTGGATTTTCCCAGGAATCCCAGCCATGCTCCACAGGTGCTGCCCTGCTGCCCTCAGCATCACCTCAGGCTGACTGTGAGATGCCCCAATTCTGCCACCTCTGCATGCTCTTAGCTGGGACAGTGGGACAGTGGTCACCTTTGCACCCACCACACTGAGGTTTTGGCACATAATGAGGGTTCCTCCACACAGAGACACAAAACGAGGGTTGCCAACCCAGCACTGGCAGAGCCTGGAGGCTTTGCCCACCTCCTTCCCACCCTGCACCATCTGGCACCATGCTCAGGTGCTCATTTGGGGTCTGGCAGAGCCTGTCTGGGGAGGGATGGTGCCTCCTGAGCCCTCCCTGTGTGGTGAGAGGATGAAGGATATCCGAAGCCACCAGGTCAGCTCCCTGCTCTCCATCTGCAGCACCTCCAACAGAGGAAACCCACTGTGGGGTTTACAGGCAGCTTTCAGATGGATTAGTGCCCTGGTCCAGCTGGACCTGTCCCATGGCACCATGCCAGCACAAGGAGGGGGTCTGCAGCAGGACCAGTTGTTTCTGCAGTAACTTGCCTTCCACTCACCCACAGCCCCACAGCAGCACATTTCAAACAGCTCTGGGGGACTCAAATTGCCAAAGTCAGTCCAGATACATGAGGCTGGCACCTGCATTGCTCTGCCAGAGCCCCGAGATGAACTCTCACCCAGGACTGCTCTGATGGCTCCCACCAACCCTCTGGGATAACAGCCTGGAGCAGAGATGGGAGGCAGCAGGGCTACCCAGTGTGCCAGTGAACCCCGGCACATCCCAGCAGCTGCTGTCCAGGACCACAGGGCTGGGAAGGGACAGAGCAGGAAGGAAGTCCCTCTACCAGGCAGGGGTGCCCACTAAGTGTCACCTTACTGCAGGGCAGGGGGGTGGCAGTGGCCCCATTGCAGCCAAGCAGCTCTTCTGTCCCTGAGGAACTGCCAAGGCTGATGCTGAGCTGGGGAGGGGGTCCCTGGGGGGTCTAAGCTTGATTTTGGATGCTGCAGGCTCTTCCATCTCTGCAGGCCTTGGCAGCATCCAGCAGCATCTCCCTATGTCCCAGGAAGGATCTGCTGTGCCAGGCAGCATTCCCACCACCTTCCCCACCCTGCAGAGGAATGAGGCACCACCAGCACCTCAGGCAGAGGGATGTGCCGCATCCCTGGACACAGCTGGTGATGACGTGACTTCAGAAGAGATGGACCAAAATGATGGAGGTGTCATGATCCCTCCTCCCTGCAGGCCAGGTGTCCCTGTGCCAGGGGCTGTGAGCTCAGGTGGGGTGGTGGCAGGGAGATGGTGACTTCCCTGGGGGACACTGGGCTGGCAGCTGTCAGTGTGCTGGGCACGGAGGAGGGCAGAGGGCTGTGAGCTGCCACTGGGGCCAGGAGTGATCTCAGACTAAATCCATCGTTTCCTGGTGATGCTGAGCTGATGGAGGGGGATCAGCCACCCATGGATCCTCTGGGGATGGCTCTGCCACAAGTGGCCCCAGCTTATCTGGAGAGGAGAGAGGGCTGAGCCCAGCTGAAGTTTTCCTCCCACGAACAGCCAGCCCTGGTGGGTACGGGATGTCCCCCGAGAGCCTGGCACTGGTGGGGTGAACCCCTGCCAGGCCTCCCAGGGAAGCAGCCCCCTTCTAGGAATTATCCAGACCTCTATCCAGGGGGCTGCTGCCCTGGGGCCAGCTCAGTCTTTCCTGCCAAGGAGGTGGGAATGACAGTGGGAAGCAGCCCTGCCTGGCGGGGTGGAACCCACCCTTGGGTGGCCTGGGCTGGTGGGATGTGGTGTGGTGGTTCTGTGCAGGATCTGCTCCTGGATAAACCCACTAGCACCTTGTTGGCTCACTGCTCCCAGCCTGGCTAAGGAAAGCTGTTGGCACTGTGGGGGGGTCTCACTGTCCCAGGCAATCAAGGAAGTCAGCTCCAAAGCTGAGCAAAAATTCCAGCTACAAACACCCCCAGGTTCAGAGGTTTGACTCTTGAACTGGCTCTGAACCCACAGTTAAAGCTCATTTCTCAGCATCCTCCTGGTCAGAGAGCTGTGAAATCCATCTTTATCAAGCCAGTAGGTAAAATGCTCTTTTGGGAAATACATGCTCAATATTAGTCTCCCTTATCCTATACAAAGGTCACAATCCATAAAGCAAAGTCCTGAGCACTCCCTGGACCCCCAGCAGATTCCTGGCCCTGCTCACAGGCCCATCCACTGCAAACCCTTCTCTAGACCCCGAGGAGATGGAAACTGGGATCCACCAGAGCGTTTGCATGAGGACATGGGGATTTTTTCTCTCTGAATTATTTAACAAAGGCAGGTTGTGCTTCACCCAGTGTGGGAAGAATGGGTTTATCGCCTCTAGAAAACTCCCAGCTCACTGAAAAGGAAAGTACTTGTTGTTTCTCTCTGGTTGGTTTTGGCTGGACACTCGAGCCCGGCAGCATCCCACACGAGCCAGAACAACAGTGGTGGGAGTGAGGGAGGGAACCCGAGCAGGGCTTAATGCTGAGCTAAGTGGAACCAGAAATCCAGAGCAACTTGTTAAAGAAAGCGAAGAAAAACTGAAAGAAAAAGTGAGGGGAGTGGATAGAGTCAGATCAGAACCCAGTGTTTGTTGGAAGGGGATGGATGGAAAGCGAGACCTGATGAACACATGAAAGGGAAAGAGTCTAAAATGTGACAGTGAAACACAGTCAAGTCAAAAAAAACCAAACCTGCCAGAATTTGAAAGTATTGGGTAAAAAAACTGGCTTTCTCAGGGCCCTGTCAGCCCCCCAGCTGTGCTCAGCTATGCCAGTGCAGGGAATGCTGACAGCACACGTCAGCCAAGGACTTAAAAATCTGTTGGATTTTTATCTCAGTGTCTTTTCAAGCACCAGGCACAGGCATCCTGTGACTGGCAGCACAGCCCACCCAGCCCAGTGCAGCCAGTGGTACCTTTCCAACAGGTAACACCAGTTTTTTCCAATCTAAGGCAATTTGCACGCCAGGGTGAGCTCCAGGAATGCTCACCATGCTAATCTTCCTTTCAATAATATTGTATTTGTGATCTTCCCTCTTCTTCAGATCATTCCAGATGCGATGCCTTCCTATTCAGGCTAAATCAAATATTTATTGGTGCTGCAGCACAACGGCACCGCTGGGTTGCATCAGCACTTTCTCCCTAAAATGCCTTTTTTGGGATCTCCTGGCTGTCTCCAGCCTCTGCCTTTCCAGCTCCTGTTTTCTCTGTACCAGGCTTAGACTTTGGAGCAAATGTAGAGCAGGGAAAAAGGGGGGGGAGAAAGAAAAGGGGGAAATGCTTGGTCACTATTATGGAAAATTCCTTGCTGTTATGTCATGAATTGTCCCAGTGCTCTGGACACCAGACAGCTGGGATGAATATAAAAACATGGACAGTTTGGGTTTGATTAGGGAGACACGGTGACAGGATGGCACTAGAAATGTTCCCTCTGGCTGGGCATGAGCCTCCATGCCAGGGAGGCACTTGGATATTGGGATGAGCACTAGGATAAAATCCTGAATAGGTTGTTGCTGAGCTGATTCGGGCTCGAGAGAAATCCATTTTCACGCTGCCAAGTCATAATGGTTATAACAAAAAAGGAGAAATCTTCCTACATGCTCGCTGGGCTTTGCCACAGGACAATGTTTTCTTTCTTTAAGCCTCTCCCGCTCTCTTGGCACGGGCTGGGAACATCTGTGCGGCGGAGTGGAAACTGCTTTCAACAACCCCCAGCCTGCCGCCGGGGCTCGCAGCCCGCGGGCAGGTGAGGGGGGGAGGCAGGGCGGCTCAGGGGGAACCAGCCTGCTCTGGACGCTGTCCATCTCACTGTCCCTCTCCCTGCCTGCACCTCTGCCCCTCTCCCTGCCTGTAGCGCTGCCCTTTTCCTACCTGCACCTCTTCCCCTCTCCTCCTTACCCATCTGCCCCTCTCCCTGCCTGCACATCTGTCCCTCTGCCTGCCTGCACCACTGCCCCTCTCCCTGCCTGCATCTTTTCCCCTCTCCCTGCCCTTTTTCTGCCTCCACTTCTTCCCCTCTCCTCCCTACACCTCTGCCCCGCTCTCTGGCTGTACCTCTGCCCCTCTCCCTACCTGTATTGCTGCCCTTTCCCTGCCTGCACCTCTGCCCCTCTCCCTGCCTGCACCTTTTCCCCTCTCCTGCCTGTCCCTCCCCTTTTCCTGCCTCCACCTCTTCCCCTCTCCTCCCTACCCCTCTGCCCCTCTCCCTGCCTGCACCTCTGTCTCCTCACTACCTGTACCTCTACCACTTTCCCTGCCTGCACCTCCGCCCCTCTCCCTGCCTGCACCAGTTTTACGGCTGAAGGCAGGCAGAGGAATCTCCCCCCTGCCGAAACACCTCCTTTTCCAGCCTCTCCAAGTAGGATTAAATTATAGATAGCAAGCTGAGTTGTTTAGTGCCTCGATTAAAGATGCATGGGGCCTGCCTTTTTTGGGAGTGTGTTTGAGGAGGGACAGCATCAAGGCAGGTAAAAGCTGCTTTTCCAGGGACCTGGGCTCGTGCTGGTGAATAGCCACGAACATGCTCCATCGGTTCAGAACATTAAAGCAGGAGATAACCCCGAGCTGCAGGGACTTCTGCACTTTGTTTGCAGCAATTTCACTCTGGTTTTAATGCATCTGTACCATCCCTGGCTGCTTCACTGAGCAGGTGTCTCCGGGCTCTTTCCACCCATTATCCCCCTGAACTGAGATGCTGGGATCTCCACAGCAAGCACTGAACCCGGGGGTGAGAAGAGGCAGCTGAGCCCTGATACACCAGCACTGAGCAGGGTTTGTGCTGTGGAAACCACCTGAGGCTCCCTCAGGTCAGGCTGGGGGAACTCTGAGGCCTCAGCTGGAAACCAGTTTCGCACCTTGGGTATCTCCAGGATCAATAAGCCACCTTCCAGAGCTACACACATGAAACTACGTGGCTTGGCAACAGGGCAGAGCTGGGAGCACCAGCAGAAACCCAGTGTGAGGCAATGGGAGGCATGTCCATGGGGAAGGGTGAGGAGCAGGTTTGGCTCCGGTGTAAATGGGTCTCCAGGATCCCAACTAGGTGCCAGCAGCCAGGGAAGGCATTTCTAGGGGGACAAGGGGATTGTAGGTGCTTGAGGCAGCAGCAGTTCCCCCCTTTCCTAGCAGAACTCCTACAACCCAAGTCCTCAGGGTATGGACACACCACCCAGCAGGAATCTCCACAGAGCCATCACTTGTGGCCACTGGAATTCATCACAGGTCTCCCAAAAGATCCATGGCCTGCCTGGATGGAGATGCTGAGCTGCACCAGAAAAGGAGGTGTCCTCCTTCTCCAGAGGATTGGCAAACCTGTTCAACCTTCAGCTCCCAGCCAGCTGGTCTGGGAGCTGCTGGAGGAGAACAGAGCCAAATGCCATCCCTCCCTTACTGCCCACTGCCTGGCAGAGGAAAGCCTGGGTACCTGGGGAGCAGCCAGGATGCACATGAACAAGCCTTGAAAGACCTGCAAAGTCCAGACTGACTGGACAGAGCAGAGGGCAGCGGCCAAAGGTCCAGGGACCATGTGGAGACCCCCTACTCCTTGCCAGCAGATCAAGGGGATGCCTCCTGCTAAATCCCACTGTTTAGGGCTGGGACACCACAATGGCTTTGCCCTGCAGCCTCTAGCAGGATATCCATGCTGTGACCTTCCTTGAAAAGGTTCTGGTACGCTGAATTCCCCAGGGACTTGCTGCCCCCTTTTAGCCCAGGGAGGGGCTCCTCTTCTCCTGGTGCATCATCCCAGCTCGGCCGTGCATTTGGGTACCTGAGGGGATGAGCACCAGGGAATCCATCTCCACACAAGCAGATGCCACGAGGTGCTGAGGCATGTGGAAACCAACAACAAAAATACGAATTTCAGATGCTCGTGTGTTAAAACCCCTTAGTGTGAAGGTTTGGTGCCAAGAACAGGAAGGCAAGGGAGGTGAAGCCTTTCAGTGGTGTCTATGGCCTGAACCTGGAAGAAAGAACTCACTGTGGGGGTGGCATCTGGGGGCTGGAGCCAAATTCTAACTGGTCAAGGGCTTTTATCCCAGCACTGATGGCACAGCTGGCACCCGGGTGTCCCTCCCTGGCCCAATGCCGAGAGCCGATGGCTGTTTTCCCTAAGAGTTGGACAGCACTGAGATGTGTTTAACACAACTTTCTTTTATTTCCCCACACAATAGTAAATAAAGCCATTTCCAAAACCTAGTACGTTCCTGATTTTCACTGATATTCCCTTCATCCACTCCCCCAGGCCCTCAGGGGCCAGAATTCAACTCCACTTTGACATCTCTGGGGTCAGTCAAGGCAGCGTAAGGGAGCTGGTGCAACAACAGTGCCTGTGCATTTCTGCAAGAGAAAATTTGGCAAGATGTGGGGGCTGAGGTGTCAGGAGCAGATGCAGCGGGTGTGCAAACACATCTTCTGCCAGTGACACCTCTTTGCTGCTGCGGATACGACTGGAGCAGCATCAGCTGCCTTTGCCTGGGCATAGACGGGGGCACTGCCATCCCCAGCACACTCCTTATGGCTGATCCTGCACACAGGAGCTGGAGATCTCCATTATCCACCAGCTGTTCTTCATGACTCATGACAGCCTAATGACACATTCCTGCTGTACAACACAACGTGCCTGCTGTCAGGCAGTGCAGAAGGAGGAAGTTGGGACTGCAGCTCGTGTTTGCCAAACACAAGCCGGCCGCTGGCAAGGAGCAGCAGAGGTTGCTGTGCATATCTGCTCCTGGAGTTATTGATGTAGGTCACATCCATTTGTACTGCTCCAGGGGCTCCCTGGGGACCTGGGATGTGCTGGTGTGGAGCATGCAGAGCTCTTAGCACTCGTGAGATGTGCTGGGAGGGACAAGGCTGTGCTGGGGGAAGAGGTGCTGCCGAGTTGCCACGTAGCTGAGCACTGCTGGGGAAGCCTGGAAGGTCACACAGCTACTTGAAGCCACAACCTGTGGGGTTATCACCACTATTTTCTTTGTGGGAATGTGCCCCAAATCATCTGCCCCTACAGCAGCAAGGATGTGATGGCACAGCCTTGTGCATGGACGCGGGGGTGAGGGGCTAACGGGGCGTGGTGTGCCACAGAACAGGGGAGATGCTGCTGCTGCCACTGCACCATCACCCTGGGCAGTGACCTGCATCAGCTGCACACTGCAGCAAGAGAACTCAGCCGGTGTCCCTGTCTAAAATCTGCCCTGGTTTCAATAAAGTGATGCTGCTTCCCACCCAAAAGCAATCTGAGCAGGACAGGGCTCCTCCAAAGAACCTCTGCTCCCAGATTTCCAGTCTGGAGGGTGGAAGGCTCAGAGCCTGAGCTGCCTGGCTGCTGTCACAAACAGAAAGTGTGGTTCAGCAGCCACAGCTCCAGAGGGTGACAGTGGCCAGGGGAGTCAGGAACGCCCGTCTCACTTTGCTGCCTCTGGGGTGTGAAGAACCAGCTGGAGCAGCAGGAGAATCCAGGGCTCTGGTCTTTACAGCCTGGGAGCAGCCACACCAAAACAGGCCTGTGGCTCCCCAGTGGGCACTTGGATCCTCCCCACACCTGCAGTGAAGGTTTGGTGTGATCTGGTGGGGACAGAGTGGCTTTGCTGAGGTGGGGCTCTGATGGACAGTGTTCTGCATCCCCGAATCCTGCACCGTGAGCAGCTGGTGGTGACTCGGGTCTTCAGGGCTGCCTGGTTGGCTCTCACAGGCTCCACTGCTTGTCTGTGTTCCCCCAGCACAAGCACAAACATTTTGCCTGCCTGTCCCACATTCCAGTGGTTGGATCCTGCCTTCCAAACCACAGCGAGCGTTGCTGCCGAGCTTGTAGAACCTGCTGGAGTGTTTATTGCTGCAGAGCATCAAGGCTCAACTCCAAAGGGAAAGAGGAAGGAATGACTTAATTCCTTTGCTAAAGGCTCTGTTAATGAGAGCAGAGATATTTCAGCCAGAAGGAATATATTTGCATAGTGTTTGATGGACAACAGAGGTGCACAGATACCCTCCAGGCCAGTCCAAAATGATCCACCTTTACTGTGCTATAAGCAGGAAACATTTTTAGTGGCACTAAACAAAGAAAAATGAGCAATCATACCTTTAAATCTCCATCCTCCTTTGCCTACCAGAACAGCTAATACTGTCAGTACAGGTGTGACACTACCTATTTTGTCACTGGCTGTAAATAATCTTTATTAACTAAAACATCTAAAATCCTTAACATTAAGGACTGCAACATTTTACTGCATTTTAATTGATGACAGAATTCTCACAGGTCTTCAATGCCTGCAAGAGAAATACTCACTTCAATTACATCACTACACAGGCTGCTGCCTACACTGATCTTTAAACAAACAGTATCTTGAGAGCTGTTGCTTTTAATACTAGATATGATACTGAGTAAGTAAAAGTACAAATACCTATTCAGTGGAAATTTGGAGCCTGTTTGAAAAATTAGGCAAGCAACCAGGAATTTGAGTGTGTCTAGCTGGAAACACCCAGGCATTTTTAGAACTGACTGCACTCTCACTCTTGAAAACCAGGCCCCTGAAGAGAGTTTTAAATTGGACACAGCAAAAGAAGAAGCCCCGACATCCTTGTATTCCTTTGAGAATGTGGATTTAAAATCTTGACTCAAAAGAGCTTCCCAGTCAAATGCCAGAGTTGGAGCTGAGGGCTTTTTCCTTAATCAGGACCAGACAAATTAAAATAAACACAGAAGACTGAATTTACACAACAAGTCATTCATTAAAGGCAGGGCGAGAAGGGGGGAGGGAGAAGAGACCACGTGAAAGCAAGAGAGAGCCTACAAAACTGAGCAGAGATACAAGTCAGGCTGTGCCAGAAGACTATCAGGAAAGGTGGCAGTAACAACATGTAAGTGTTATAACAACAGCCAAGATGATTTTCAGAAGTGATGAAACCTTTCACACCAGTCTAAAAGGAACAGCAGATTCGTAGCTGCCCTGAAAAAGTCAGACCTGTTTAGTCAGTGCTATAGGGGCTCTCTGGAGAATCTGATAAATGCATACCATACAAAAATAGTGTCCCCTCTTATTGTCAAAATGCTTTAGAATTACCTCAGCTGTAAGAGAAAAGGATCACTTGGACTGGCTGGGGAATCCCAGACCAGACTGGCACCACCTGGAATCCCAGAATCCCAGAGTGGTTTGAGTTGGAAGGAATCTTAAAGATCATCTCATTCCATGTGCTGCCATATGCAGGGACACCTTCCACTAGACCACTAGCCCTGTCCAGCCTGACCTTGAACACTTCCAGGGACAGGGAGTCCACAACCTCTCTGTGCCAGTGCCTCACCTCCCTTGTATTAAAGAATTTCTTCCCAATACTGAATCTAAACCTTCCCTCCTTCTGCTGAAGGCCATTCCCCTTATCCTCACAGGCAAGGGAATACTCAGACACCCATTTGATTTGGGCAGGATGGGATATGTTGCTTTGGGCATTATGGCAACAACTACTTCTTTCCAGCTGAAGTGCAGAGTCAGTGCCAGGACAGTGCTTGGGGTCTGCACCAACAGTGAGCTCTGGCCAGCAGCTGGTGCCAGTAACACAGAGGGCCTTCAAAATGCTCTTAACCAACATTCATTCACCAGGTTAATAGAAAAGAACTGACGGTAAATCTGTGGGTTTTAGCTAAAGCCAAGGTACACAATCCCACAGCTCCCCTGTGCGAGGGCTGGGCTCCCAGAGGAGATGTCACACTGGTGGGGAACATGTGAGCCTGAGGCTGGCTGGAGCCTGGAGTCATTCCTGCTTGTAACCTGACAGGCTGCCAGGCTTCTGGAGTAGGTCACTCAAACAAATCACTGGAGTGCACGGAGAACACCACTGAACTAAAGGAGGAGCAGGGCACGAGGAAACCCTGCATTCCCTGGAGAGGTTTGAGCCCTGTCTTCACCTCTACATTACACCTTGCAAGACTGAACCTCAGCATCTCCCCAGGCTGAATCACAGCCCTTTTCTAAGTGGTTTTCTTCAGTGGTTCATTTTATTTTCCCCTGTAGCTGACCTCTCCTTTTAATTTTTTCTTTCTTTTCAGAGAACCTGGCTTCACTGCTCTGCCTTTCCTGATCTTGGCATGACCTCCTCTTTTCTGGTTTTACCCACCCCCTCACCTGTGACAAAGTGTGCCCCATCTGATGTGATGTCCAACCCCACTGATGGCACCTGGCACAGACTCTTCCACTTCTCTGGCACTTCCCAGGAGCTCATCTGGAGAGCAGAGCAGAGGGAGGGCTGTGCATGGAGACCCCACAGATTTCAGCCCTGCTCTGTAACACAACCTTCTGTGAGGGCACAGGAGTTTCACCCCAGAACAAGCCCCAGATTTTGTGGTTTGGAGTTTCTGCAAACAGAATTCCTGCAGTTTTTTTCACCATGGACTATCTGGTACCCTTCAGGATGGCAACACACACATCTGAAAGAGGAGTGGGGTCAAATGATTTGTTTTCTTATAAAACAACTGCAAAACATCCCCAAATGAGGAAAAAACAATAGAGTCAGAACTCAGACTTTGTCTGCCTGAACTATCTCTGCCTGTGCTGTACTCAAATCTCTCTTTCTACCTGGATATTTCTCAGGTCCCACTCTGAGGTCAGAAGCCTTATTGGGGTCATCAGTTCTCTCACCCATCACGGCTGCCTTGTGACACTTTTGCTCTGCTGTCATATGAACTAATCTTTTTCAATCCTGAATGCTTTCTAGGTGCTCTTCACTGTGCAAAAGTTTCCTTACCCTCACCACAGAGCAGAGAGTTTGCAGATCTGCGGTAGCTCAATGAGAGTCATAAAGTCCTGGAAAAAAGAGCTACTGGGAAATAGGAAATTACCTGTTCCAT